AGCAGAAAATTTAAAGCCAAACTAATAATCACTTCCAGTTTCTTCAGCACAGCAACAGTGAAACACGTGAAAATAAAAACAGAGCAAATGTCTGGCTTTACTTTTCCTCTTAAAGACTGTTTGCAGTTTAGTTAAATGTTTCCGTGTTTTCAGTGAAAATGTCTTCAGTTCAGCCTCAGAGAGTTTATCAAGCAGCAGGAAACTCCTGCTGAAGAAACATTCACAGAGTGGAAAGAAATCAACGTTAAGATGGAGGAAGAGATGGACGATCAGCGCAGACTGATGGATTTTACCCGGATACCCAAGATCATCTTGCACCGGATAGGTACGAAACAGCTGCAGTAGCTGTCATTATTTTAATTGATTGTATACATTGATATTAATTTAATTGGTGAATCAATAAAACCAGAGCACACAGAGCATGCTCATTGCTCTGTGATAGTTCTGTGCTGCCTGGCTTCATGCAGCAGGAGAAAAAGTGAGAACTGTCACAGTGTTGGTTATTTCTGCTTGTGCTCCTTGGTCTGTGTTCATGATGGAGCGTTGTTACCACTAGTGCATTGCCTTAATTGCTATGTTTAATAGTGCAGACAGTGGTGGTTTATGATATGAGCAATATGGGCAACCGCCCAGGGCGTTAACTTTTAGGGTTGGCATGAGACTTCCATGGATTGTAGCACAGAGCAAAGTAGAACAAGAGTTTGAATTGATAATATTGGTTAAATTGATTTGTTTTTATGGGAATGTGGATCTTTCAGACCAATTTTATTAGCACTTTTGCTAATATTTCACATTTTATAGTCATGTGGCGGCTGGTCTTGGTCTCTGCTTAGATGGTCTTGACTATAACACTATGTAAAGCTATTTAAAGGGCCGTTTAATTTAACTAAAAGAAATGTCATAATAGTAATGGTCAGATATTGACTTAGCAAGCAGAGTTAATAGAGATGGTTCAGTTTAAATATTTAGTATTTTACTGTAAGTTACAGTGTGGGACCATTATTTGATAAGTGCCATCATATTCTGTGTCCATAAGAATAGCAAAGTATGATGTAAACCTGCAACAGCGCCTCCTACAGTCACAATGTGCAGTGGTCACAGAATATGGTGTAACGTCCCTGTTGGCGAGAAGCGAATCTGAAGGGGAGTTAACGTCAGCTAGCCAGACTGCATATTTCCAAATGTTGGCACATTTGACGGCATTAAGTTTAATTGCTGGTAAAATTATTAACCACATGCAGACATTGTTTATTCTAAATAAGGTAAATAACAATCTCTCTGAAAGACGATGGAAGAGATTTCATTTTGTAATGTTTGCTGATTGATATATATACATTTTCCCCTCCTGGGGGTTTCTGTGGGCTCTAGTGTCCCTTATATGAAAGAAGGCTGACAGGAATGTAGTAAGGAAAGACATGCGGCAAATATCGTCTGGTCCGGAAATCAAACCCGTGACGGCCGTGTGGAGGATTGAAGGCCTCCAAACGTGGGTTGTGCTACCACAGCACGCCCCCTGATGAAGAATATTTTCATTTTAGTTTTTGTTAAAGTGAAGAATTTATTGTGTGACCTCACATTTTGACTTTTTTGTCCAGATCTCCCACAATGCAGTGTGTGCAAAGCGGAGGAGGATCTTAATGAGATAAGAAACACGGAGAGAAACTTCACTTCAGATCAAGATCATCCAGAATCTCTGCAGATAAAACTGGAACAAGAGGAACTAGAACCTCTGCAGATAAAATTGGAACAAGAGGAACCAGAACCAGAACCTCTGCAGATGAAACTGGATCAAGAGGAACCAGAACCTCTGCAGATGAAACTGGAACAAGAGGAACCAGAACCAGAACCTCTGCAGATGAAACTGGAACAAGAGGAACCAGAACCTCGGCAGATCAAAGAGGAAGAGGAGCAACTTTGCATTAGTCAGGATGAAGAGAATCTTGTGATGAAACAGGAAATTGATGACATTTTGAACAAACAGCAGAAAAACTCAACAGAGACTTCAGAACAAGAAACGCACATGAAAGCTCAGCCAGACCAAAATCTATATTCTTGTCAAATTTGTGATGAAACTTTTTCTCAAAATAATTCCTTCATGAATCACATGAAAAGTCACACGGCTAAGAAACTTTTGACATGTTCCACCTGTGGAAAACTTTACCCTCACAAGAGTCGTTTAATTGCTCACATGAGAATTCATACAGGTGAAAAACCATTCATTTGTCCAGCTTGTGGAAAAAGTTTCCGTCTGAACAACTCTTTAAACAGACACAAGAGAATTCACTCAGGTGAGAAACCTTACACCTGCACAACCTGTGGAAAAAGTTTTGTGTTTAAATGTCATTTACATAATCACATCAGAATTCACACGGGTGAGAGGTCTTTCTTATGTGAGATCTGTGGAAAATGCTTCCGGAGGAAACCTCAGTTAGTTAATCACATCAGAATTCACACGGGTGAGAAACCTTTCTCATGTGGGACTTGTGGAAAAAACTTCATTCGAAAAGAAAGTTTAACTGTTCACATGAGATTTCACACGGGTGAGAAGCCTTTCTTGTGTGGGACCTGTGGAAAAATCTTCTCTTATAAGAATGCCTTAACTTTTCACATGAGAAATCACACAGGTGAGGAGCCATTCTCATGTGGGACTTGTGGAAAAAGTTTCACTCGAAAACAATGTTTAACTGTTCACATGAGAACTCACACAGGTGAGAAACCATTCTCATGTGAGATCTGTGGAAAGATGTTTACTCATAAGGATACCTTAACTACCCACTTGAGAATTCATACAGGTAAGAAACCGTTCTTTTTTGGGTCCTGTGGAAAAAATTTCGCTCATGAACAGACTTTAATTGTTCACATAAGATCACACACAGGCGAGAAACCATTCTCATGCGAGGTCTGTGGAAAATGTTATGTGAATAGAACCGGTTTACGTAATCACGTGAAGATTCACACGGGTTAGAAGTCTTTCTTTTGTAGATTCAATAGAAAAGGTTCACTCAAAACAAATGTAACTGTTCACATGAGAACTCTCACAGGTTTGATGCCACAATGTGAACCTCAAGATTCTCAGTAAGTTGCTGTTTTGAAGTGGAGTAATTGCAACCAACTAAAATTTTTAAATGTATCAGGTTTTGCTTATGAAGCATTTTAAATTGGATATTTAGATTAAATTCTTTAAAATTCACTTTATTCTGGCAGTTTTATATTTCCATTTTATTTAATGAGACTAAGGGAGAGGTCTCCCAAAGAAACAATGAGTTTGAATGCTTTCAGATTTACACTTCTAAAATTGTGAAATATTTATAGTGATTTTATCCTTTGTACTTATTTTTTTTATTTATTTCAATGATTTGGAGAAATGGATGCATTTCTTTGACATGGTATTAATGATTTTCCTGCTTAGAAAATGTATTGATGATATGGATTGAATTTTAGATTGAAACTGTATAATTTTAGAAAATGAATTATCATAATCATGGCCTTTTTCTTATTTTCTGTTTAGTAGAAAGACTGTGGGACAGACTAGATTTATACAATTACAACTCCTCCCTCTCTGAATTCTGCTTCAGATGTTCATGGAAACTGTAAATGATTGGCTGGAATCAGAGACTGGAATAAAACCTTCAGTTTGAAACTAATAGTCCATCTCTTCCTCCTTCGCATTGCACACATTTTAAAAAAGTCAATATTCTTTCTACTGAGTACTTAACAGACTGAGTTCTATACTTATACAAATTAAAGAGAAAAGAACTTATTAGCCATAATTTAACAAAGAATTAACCTAAATAAGATTAAACACAAAACTTAAGTACAACTAATCCAGAGGTTCCCAAAGATTTTTCGGGCTCCCTATGGATTACAATAAAATCCCTGCCAAAAAAGAATCAACCGGGCACACACATCGTTCAACCAGACATAAACCTATTCACATATTTTGTTTTCAAACTTGACTGAGGTTTTATTTTCACTTAAGGCTGCAAACTAAGTGTGAAAATACTTTACAGTAAAATACTTATGCAACTTTTGTTTTTTTCATCCTGCAAAAAACAAACCTACAAAGTAGGTGTAGTATCAGGTTCTGGTCAGTAGGTGGCAGCATGTAGGTGCTACTGTGTCAGGCCACATTTCTGATATAAAATGTTTTTATTCAACATCCATCCATCCATTTTCTTACACCCTCTCTCCCTAATGGGGTCGGGAGGAGTGCCAGCCTCCAGCGAGACATTTCGGGCGAGAGGCGGGTTAAACCCTGGACAGATCGCCGGCTGTCGTACATTTTTTGATATTAAAAGAAAACTTTAATAAATAAAGCTTTCATTCAAAACAACTAAGAAAAAGAATAAAAGGTCATAATTAACTGAAAAAGCTTAAACATTAGTCTGTGCGTAATTATTTTCTATACACTGAGTTAGTGAAACAAAAAAAAGAAATAAATGGATAAAAGGAGTTTATTCTGATGAACTATCACCCTTACAGACATAAATGATTTTCACTCGAGCAGCACTTTATTAATTATTGCAAAAATTCATGATCAGTGTTTTCAATCTAGTCTGTTCTAACTACACACTCGATACTTATTGTTGGTCTCAAGTTGACACAAAGTTATCACAAACCAACATTTCTGGCTTATAAAGATCATCAAAACCTTAAATTATAGAACTGTCCATTCTAATCTAAACTCTGACTAATTTCGATAGGATGAACGTAACTTTGCTGTGGAAGCAAAACTATACAAACCAATAAAAAAACTATTTTCTAAAATTACGCTAACAATGACCTCTCAAGAGCACTCATTTATTTAATAAAACAGTATATTAAAAGAGGAGGCTCAAAGCGGAACTAAAAGTCGTTTAGTGTTTCTTCAGTACAGCCAGAGTGAAACACACGAAAGATAAAAACAGAGCATACGGGATAGCATTAGCTTTTCTTTTGTGAGACGGTTGTCTGAAGACAAAATTTGGCGTTTTAGTTAAATATTTCCGTGTTTTCAGTGAAAATGTCTTCAGTTCAGCCTCAGAGAGTTTATCAAGCAGCAGGAAACTCCTGCTGAAGAAACATTCACAGAGTGGAAAGAAATCAACGTTAAGATGGAGGAAGAGATGGACGATCAGCGCAGATGATGGATTTTACCCGGATACCCAAGATCATCTTGCACCGGATAGGTACGAAACAGCTCCACGGTTTACTGATGATCCAGGTTGAATAAAACTCTTTGTGGCTGCGCTGAATTCGTAAAGCTATTTAAAGGAGTATTACACCAAACCAAATCCGCTCCGTCTGAAAACATTCAGCTAATTTGATCAACTGTGACCTGGATTATGACTTCTTCTTTTTTAAAACAACACTAGATGTACAAAAACAACATTTTTGCTGATACCATCATTAGCCAGAGAGCTATTGCAGTATCATGTACATGAATGGAAGTTAGGCAATACACTGAGTGCATGAGATACATTTTATAACAGACTCAAAGTCCAACTTGCATAAAAAATAAAACAAACAAACAATAGAATAAAAGTACGTAAGAAATAGCTACTAACCATTCAGGACAATCACACCAGTATCCAGAGCACAGATGAGTATTTTACTGCACTATATTTAACATGGTCAACATTACAATAGTTGTATTATTATATTAATTGCCTTACTGTGCTTTTGAATGAAAGAGTAGCTGAAAGTAGTTTTTAGGTCAATTTTAAAAGTCTCTAAACAAGCCATGTTTCTATTGAATTTACATTTGTGAATAAAACAGCTTTGCTATAAGTGCTGTTAAATTAATTAAAAGCTAATTATTTTCTTCTTTTCTTGAATAATTGTGAAAACCAACGACAACATTGTTTTATTATTCCTCCAAATAATAAAAAGTAACGTCATAATACTCAGTCACTTAGGAAGGAGAGAGTTAGCAGAAATTATTTGGTTAAAATTTTTACTTTAGAGTGGTCCCATTAAGTGGGTTAGTAAATCTGCAACAGCGCCCCCTACAGTCACAATGTACAAAGGTCACAGAATATGACCTTTGCACCAAGCAAATGTTTAAGAGGAGTTAAGGTCTTACAGATTCTCTGTCCGGCTGGCCGAACTGCATATTTCAAAATGTTGGCACCTCTGTTTATTACTGGTAAACTACAGCAGGGTTCAATTTTTTTAATGGGAGCACACACATCACTGAAGGACTATTTTTATTTTGGTATTTGTTGTCGTACTCAAATCTGTAGGACAGGTCGTCGAACGACTGTTAGACTGAATAATCTGGGGAAAAGCCAGGCCCAGATTATTTATTATCATTTATTAGACAGGGACTTGAATACACACAGGCGAATTCCATTCATCATCAGTCATTTAGGACAACATTGGACCATTCAGAGATCCTCACTGAACTTCTGGACTCAGTTTGCACTGAAAGTTAAGGGACAGAATAATATTGGACAGCCCACTTTGCAGTTTTTCATAATTAAAAAGTTTAAAATATTCAATAAATAAATTTCACTTCAAGATTGTTTTCCACTTGATTTTCACAAAGTAATACAAATTTTAGATCTTTATTTCTGAAGCCTGACAAGCGATAAAAGGTTGAAAAGTTCAAGGGGCCAAATACTTTCGCAAAGCAGCGTGTCTGCAGTTTTGGAGGAATAAGATATGGAGTGATGTAGAAGAGGGAGCTGGTTCTATTGAAGGACAGCAACCATATAGTTCTACATCGAGGAAAAAGGCTTTTTGGGAAATTTGTCTCAGCTACTAGAAAAAAACTTATCATCACCTTGCTTGTTCACCCAGAAGTCCATGATATAATATGTTGACTCAAATCTCGTTCCGTTCTGGTCAGAAGATGTACATTTGTTGAGTTTGTTATTTTAGAAAAACCTTAAAAAGTCCTGTTTAAATACATCAATACATAAAAGTGAATGGTTCTGTATTGACTCACATTTAAAAGCTTTTATGTTTTGTTTTGGATTTTTTTTTGTCTTTTTCCAGATCTCCCACAACAGTGGACATGTAAAGAGGAGGGGGTTCTCAAGGGCCCAGCAACCAGGAGGAAAACTCCACTTTAAATCAAGAGGAACCAGAACCTGTGCAGATGAAATGGGAACAAAAGGAACCAGAACCTCTGCAGATGAAACAAGAACAAGAGGAACCAGAACCTCTGCAGATGAAACTGGAACAAGAGGAACCAGAACCTTTGCAGATGAAATGGGAACAAGAGGAACCAGAACCTCTGCAGATAAAACAGGAGCAAGAGGAACCAGAACCTCTGCAGATAAAGCAGGAACAAGAGGAACCAGAACCTCTGCAGCTCAAAGATGAAGAGAAGCTTGTGCTGAAGCAGGAAAATGAGACTTCAAAACAGAAAATGCACAAGAAAGCTCAGCCAAACCAAGAACTATATTCTTGTGAAATTTGTGACAAAACCTTTTCTGAAAACAGTTCCTTCATGACACACATGACAACTCACACGGCTAAGAAACCTTTCATATGTTTGACTTGTGGAAAAAGATACCGTTACAAGAGTCGTTTAATTGATCACATGAGAATTCATACAGGTGAAAAACCGTTCACATGTGCTGCTTGTGGAAAAAGTTTCCATCTAAATGGTACTTTAAGCAGACACATGAGAATTCACTCTGGTGAGAAACCTTACACATGCACAGCCTGTGGAAAACATTTTGCATGTAAATCTCAATTACTTGATCACATGACTATTCATACAGGTGAGAAGCCTTTCTCATGTGGAACCTGTGGAAAAAGTTTCCGGAGGAAACCTGATTTGGTTAGTCACGTAAGAGTTCACACAGGTGAGAAGCCATTCTCATGTGAGACCTGTGGAAAATGTTTCTCTCATAAAAACAGTTTAAGTGTTCACATGAGAGTTCACACGGGTGAGAAGACTTTGTCTTGTGGCACCTGTGGAAGAAATTGCTTGAATAAATCTGACTTAGTTAATCACATGAGAACTCACACAGGCGAGAAGCCTTTCTCATGCGGGACCTGTGGAAAAAGTTTTGCTGGAAGACATCGTTTAACTTCTCACATGAAGTCTCATACAGGCAAAACTTCTTTCTCATGTGGGACATGTGGAAGAAGTTTCACTCGTAAATTGATTTTAACTGCTCACATGAGAACTCATATGGGTGAGAAGCCTTTCTCCTGTGGGACATGTGGAAGATGTTTCTCTCGTAACATACATTTAACTGCTCACATGAGAACTCACACAGGTGAGAAGCCTTTTCCATGTGGGATTTGTGGAAAATCCTTTACATGTAGATCTGGTTTACGTCAGCACATGACGACTCACACAAGTGAGAAGCTTTTCTCATGTGGGATCTGTGAAAAACGTTTTGCTCAAAAATATTATTTAGATTCTCACATGAGAACGCACACATGTGCAAAGTCATTCTCATGTGGGACCTGTAGAAGAAGTTTCTCTCAAAAAAAATTTAACTGCTCACATGAAAATTCACACAGGTAAGAAGTAGGAGTGCACTAATTTATCAATGTCACTTAATTTTTGGAGATCTGTGATCAGCCAATAATTACCTGTGAATTTGATCTTATTCCCCGATTTTTTTCTACCTCAGCAAAGGTCTAAAGATCAGCCACTGTCCTCTTCTGCTCTCCAGTGAGAGGTTTGACTATCAGTCAAAAGTCGTGTCTACACATTTCTTCACAAAAGTCACTGCACTGTTGCCATCTCAGCAACTTTCTTGCTGTATTTAGTGACATTTCATACAAAAAAATTGGCGTTGCCCAAAATTCAAAATGGCTTATCAGGTCATCGACGATCGGCCAGAAAACTGCAGATGGTGCACTGCTCAAAAGAAATGTAACCGTTCACATGAGAACTCACACAGCTTTGATGGCATAATGTGAACATCAAGTCCCAACATTCTTAGTAATTTGCTTTTTGGAAACAGAGTCATTGAAACTGGATTGCATTTTTAATTGCAGCAGCTTTGTTTAAAATGCATTTCAAATTGGAGATTTAGCTAAAACGCTTCAACATTCACTTTATTCTAGCAGTTTTCTGTTGGCATTAATTTTTTAAGAGAATAAGTGAAATATTTGTAGCTTCTTAAAGGAGCAATGGGTTTAAAGGTTTCATTTAGACTTGTAAAGTTTTGGAGTCTTTATTGTGTTTATCCTTTGTACTTATTTGGTTGGATGAAATAGATATGTTAGCTGTTACTGCGTGTTCTTGTAGGGTCACACATTAATGAGATTACTAGTGTTTTCTAAACTTTAATCTAAATATCATCCACCATGTTTTTTTCTCAGAGGTTCTGATTGAGGAAGGAAATCGTGCTAAATAATTATGAAACCTGAGATTTTCTCCCCTTTTGTTTAAAAATCTGCATATTTTTGTTAGTTATTGTAAATTGTTTTTACCAAGTCTTGTTTCGTCAATTTTTTTTGACATTGTTTTTATGCTTTGGATAATAGAAAAGTAATTTCAGATATAATAAAGTTTATTTACCACAATAATTGTCTTTTTCTTTTGTCTGTTTAGTAGAAGACTGTGTGACAGAATAAATTTACATAATTACAAACCCAATCTCTGAATTCTCCTTCAGACGTTCATGGAAACTGTAAATGATTTGGCAGAAATCAGAGACCCGAATTAAACCTGTTTGAAACAAATAGTAAATCAGGAAAACCTTCCTGATTTATACATATATATATAAACAGAAGCAATCCACAGAGCCCATCTCTTCGTCCATAACATTGCATGAATTTTAATAAAGTTAATATTTGTTTTTCAATAAAGCATCTGGAGTAAGGGCGTTGCATCTGCGTCGACGTTAATGACCGAGTGCCATCATGGCGCATCAGAGAGACACCATTTTGGATGTGAATGGACTTTTAATGGAATAAAATCAGAACCAGAAAGTATTTAATGGTCACCATAAACACTGATGCAATAAATAATACACTTATTTGATATAAGTGGTGAATGGCCACCAGTGTCTGCAGGCGTCTCGGCAGCCGTCATCTCCTCATGCCGTCTGATTGGCTTTGGACTGATGATGGGTTTAATAAAAAGTCAAAGCACGGTTACAAAAAACACTTTTCAGGATTAATTATGATCTAGTAAAACTTATGTCTGCATTGTTGCCATCATATAATTAGCAATATTTATTTTTGTCCTGATTCAAATCAGATTTTATTTGTATGGCACATTTCAGCAGCAATGCATTTCAAAGTGCTTCGCACCACAACACCAAAATACAAAGTCATGCGTCACAAAAACAACAATCAAAACATGACATTAAGTCAAGTTCCATCATGAAATTTGCAATTGATTACATTCTAAATACAACTCTGAACAGGTGGGTTTTTAGTCGAGATTTGAAGGAAGTCAGTGTTTCAGCTGTTTCACCGTTTTCTAGAAGTTTGTTCCAGATTTGTGGCGTATGGAAGCTGATTTGGTTCTGGGGATGCAGAGCAGAACCAGAAGATCTGGAAGGTGTCTATAACAACAGCAGATCTTTAATGTATTGTGCTGTGATTGTGATTGATAAGTTGTTCAGTGATTTTTAAACTCACAGTATTTTAAAGTCTATTCTAATCACAAAGACAACATAATAAAAAACTGACATTCAGATTCAAGTTTAGACAAGTATTTTTCCACTGGGCAATCCGTTTATAACCTACCAGCGCATACATGGCATTCAGTAACAGATAACATGTATCCACTAACCAAAATCATTGAAGTGCAACAAATGTACAATGACTCTAAAAGCATTCAAATCCCTTTATTAATTAAGAAACAAGTAATATGGAAACAATCTCACTTAAAAATAAACATTTAAATGGAAGGGTAAATCTACCAGTGTAAGATGATTTCTTGAAAGTATCTCAGCTAAATCCATTGGATTTTTTAACAAAGCTGCTACATTTACAAAACGTCACCCAGCTATAATCACTGCGCTTTCACATAGCAAGTTACTGAGAATGTTGATACTTATAATTATGCCTTCATGTGCTTTGTGCTCTATCATATGAACAGTGGTGAAACTCTTTCCACATTTCCCACCAGAGAAAGGCTTCACACATGCATGAGTTCTCATATGAAAAAGAAAATTAGGTTTAGACTTCAAAGGTCTTCCACAAATCACACCAGGAAAAGTCTTAGCTGTGTGAGTTTGAGAGTGTTGAGAAAGATATGATTTTTGATAGAAACGTTTTCCACAGATCTCGCATAAAAAAGGCTTCTCCACCGTGTGAATCCTCATGTGAATATTTACATCATCTTTGGAACCAAAATGTTTTCCACAGAAAACACATGACAAAGGTTTCTCACCTGTGTGAGACCTCATGTGAACAGTTAAACCATCTTTCCTGGTGAACCTTTGTTCACAGATCACACATGAGAAAGGCTTCTCACCTGTGTGAATTCTCATGTGAATATTTAAACAACTTTTGTAACTAAAATGTTTTCCACAGATCACATGAGTGTGGCTTCTCACCCACGTGAGTCTGCTTGTGGTATATATATGTGGTATATATATATATATATACCACATATATATACCACACATATATATATATATATATATATATATATATATATATATATATATAATATATATATATTATATATATATATATATATATATATATATATATATATATATATATATATATATATATATATATTCACCAAACTGAATTTTCATGTGTCTAATCACAGAAGTGTTTCTGGAAAAGGTTTGATTGCAAATTCTACAGGAATATATTTTTTTTTGTCTGCGTGAACTTTCTTGTTTCGAACTGTCAGTTTTACTTTTCTGCTGTTTGGTTTTCTTATATCTCCGATTTTGTTTCTGTTCTTCATCTCTCTTTTTTCCTGGATCTTCAGAATTGCTTCCTTCCTGATCCTGGTTCTCATCCTCAGCAGAGCCATGAGAGATGAGTTGGTTCCTCTGTGGTTCGTTTCATTGTGGATTCTTTGCACATTTAGAGGATTCACCAAAATGTCATCAGTCTCCTGTTTCAGCACATCAGTCAGCTCTTCATCCTGACTGATGTAGGATGACTCTCTTCTCTTCCTCTTTCAACTCTTGATGTTCTGGTTCCTCTTGATCTCGTTTCAACTCTTGATGTTCTGGTTCCTCTTGATCTCGTTTCAACTCTTGATGTTCTGGTTCCTCTTGATCTCGTTTCAACTCTTGATGTTCTGGTTCCTCTTGATCCTGTTTCATCTGCAGAGGTTCTGGTTCCTCTTGATCCTGTTTCATCTGCAGATGTTTCTCTTGTTCTAAAGTGGAGTTTTCCTCCTGGTTGCTGGGCTCATTGAGAACCTCCTCCTTCCACAGATCTGGACAAAAGAAAAAAACAAAAGCTTTGAAATGTCAACCACAGATCAAAACATGCATTTGAATCCATTGATGTATCAAAACATGATTTTCTTGGTATATTCTGAAATTAAAAACATTTAAGTTTGAAAAATTAACTCATCTAGATTAAGTTGAGTTAGTTTTTCTGATGACAGCTTAACCTAATGTCTCCCAAATGAATATTCCAAAAATGTCTTTCCTCTGTGTAGATACAGAATATGCATCACATAAAATACTCAGAGAAAATTCCTAAAGTGCGTTTTAATCTCAGCTATTGAAATGTGCAGACTAACAAATGTTAAGTAATGGCATGGCAATAGGAAGGGTTGCTGGATTGGAAAACAGTAACAGTACTCAGCTAATCTCAGGACAAAGTTTTGCAGATCAGTAAGTTGGTGTTGGAATCTGATTCTTTTTCTCTTTTAGTTCATGGAGGTCCATCCTCTTCAGTTCATTCCCAGTCAGATGTAAATCAACAACTTGCTCATCACCTGACTGGTTCCTTCAGTTCTTTTGTTTGGAGTGGAATGGTGGGAATGTTCATCTCATTTCTGTTTAATTAGGTTCAAAACTCATTTTTAAAGATGCTCAGAAGCTGAAACTGTAAGCTTCAACCTCGGTTCAAATGTTTTTTTTCTGTTCTTGGCAATGATTGAGTCTTTGACTCAATCATTTATTTTCTCTGCCCAGAAGCCGAGAACCATTGGTCTCGTTGCCTCTGGCATTTGAGTGTATAGTTTTAAAGCAACTTAACCATTGTTAAAATTACATGAGTTTTAACAAACTCAATATTCACTTTTCAATCAACACTTACCAGACTTAGTTCTACATTTATACAAATGAGAGCCATAATTTGACATAGAATATGCTATTCATTATTATCGACTATTATTGAGGTCAGAGTTCTTCATTCTAAGGATTTGTTAAATTTTATTATTTATTTCCGGTGGAAACTGATTTGATATGTTTGAGTCTTTTAGTTTAAGTTCAGGGTCGGTGTTATAGATTAACTGGTGGAGAGAACAGCTGGCAAAGTCAGATGTTTTGCCAGCTGCGTGACTTTAAGGACCCCTTTACAGAACCAGGAACACCATAGCAACACCATCAAGTATGCGATTTAAATTTTATTAAAAATGATGACACCAACCTCACTGTTTAGCGACACGTCCTGTGGTAGTGCTGCTAAGAAAAAGAAGAAATTCAGAAAACAGTGCAGTTGCATTGCAGGATCTGAGCCAAAACCAAAAAACTGGGGTAGAAATATTAAGAAACTCACATTACAGGTACTTCAGAGCCAATTACGAGTTGTTCAACTTGGACATAACTGTCTACAACTCCTAAAAGCTTGCTAAATGAAATGTTAGGATTGAAAATAACATCAATGTAGTGAAGCTTCGCATGAACTTGTCAGATCCCGCTGTTGTAGCTGATATTTGGTGAAATGATGTACTAATCGACTCAGAAATGCTCTGCAGACAGAGATACAAAGCGCCTATAGCCTTTGTTTGTGAGACGTGGGATTTTCTAGGTCAGTTGTGGGCGGAGCTTGGTAAGGTCCATTGTGGTGTTACTCATTAATCTGGTTCTGCTCCCATGCGGTGTTTTCGAAGCGCACTGAACGCTGCTCTGTTGAAACTTGCTTTGAAACTAATTTTCCAAATGCAACATTAAACATTTTTGCTTCAAATGGGATCTATAATAATGTTTTGCAAACGGTTTTGTCACACAAGAGGCATTTTTCAACAGGCATCCACACAGCCACCTACAATTCAGAAACATCTGCGGCGCGCAAATGTTTCAACCAGTGAATCTGAAACATCGGCCCAGAAAGTTTCCTACATGTTTCGAGCTGTCTTTAACCTGTTTTTAACTCTGCTGAGTAAAATTTAAAGCTGTTTCGTACCTATCCGGTGCAAGATGATCTTGGGTATCCGGGTAAAATCCATCAGTCTGCGCTGATCGTCCATCTCTTCCTCCATCTTAACGTTGATTTCTTTCCACTCTGTGAATGTTTCTTCAGCAGGAGTTTCCTGCTGCTTGATAAACTCTCTGAGTCTGAACTGAAGACATTTTCACTGAAAACACCAAACCTGTTTCAGTTTAACTAAAGAACAGCAAATGCTCCCTCGTGCGCTCTGAGATGATTTCTGTGTTTCACTTTGTCTGCACGGAAGAAACTGTAAACGATTCTGCTGTTGGTTTTCTCATATCTCTCCTTTGGTTTCTGTTCTTCCTTTCTCTTTTTTCCTGGATCTTCAGAATTGCTTCCTTCCTGATCCTGGTTCTCATCCTCAGCAGAGCCATGAGAGATGAGTTGGTTCCTCTGTGGTTCTGTTTCATTGTAGATTCTTTGCACATTTAGAGGATTCATCAAAATGTCATCAGTCTCCAGTTTCAGCACCAGATGCTCTTCATCCTGACTGATGCAGAGTTGCTTCTCTTCCTCTTTCAACTCTTGATGTTCTGGTTCCTCTTGCTCCTGTTTTATCTGTAGATGTTCTGGTTCCTCTTGTTCCTGTTTCATCTGCAGAGGTTCTGGTTCCTCTTTATCTGAAGTGGACTTCCTCTCCTGGATGCTGAATTTATTTAGATCCTCCTCCTCTTTACACACCCAGCACTGTGGCAGATCTGCACAAAAACACAAAATAAAAGCTTTTAAATGTGAGTAAAAGAATGAGTCCTTCATTTTAATCACTTAAATCTTTCTCAAGTGTTCCCAACACTAAAATTACAAATTCATAAGTATAAAAATTAACTTTTTACACTTTAGTTTTTCTGACTGGAAGGGATCAAGAAATCAGTCCAAACATACTACGGATCTCCAGGTGAGAAAGCAAGATGGCGATAATTAAACCTAGAGGCTCCACGACAAAAATAGTTCAAACAGCAACTGGATTTAGTCCTGCTATAGAACCTTAGAGACTTAAATGTAGTTCTACACTTAAAACATTTTATGCATAGAGCAGCTTGGATTCTAATGCACATTACAAAAGAAAATGAGCATTTTAAATCCTGTTGATAGTTTGGTTTCATTTCATCATTCCGATCCTCATTTGCATCAACATCTGTTCTTTACTACTGTAGCAACAAAAATTAAAGTTGTAAGCAACCTCAAACGGTTCATTCGCCTCAACAACTCTCTGGGGTACGTTGCAATTGCAAACCCGTCCGATCAACTCTGCATATCACCACCAAACAGTGCATTGAGAAAGACTCTGTATTATGTTCAGCCAGTCAGACTCAGTTGAGCTCAGTTGATAAGTATTCAAAGTTTTGGCAGAAACCAAACCTTCTTGACAGAAGTTAAAGCCAATTCCTGTTTGGTGGCATAGGACTGATTAGCCATAATCAAAGTCAGGTTGCCAAATATATGAGAGAGAGAGAGAGACAGACAGACAGACAGACAGACAGAGAGAGAGAGAGAGAGAGAGAGAGAGAGAGAGAGAGAGAGAGAGAGAGAGAAGAGAGAGAGAGAGAGAGAGAGAGAGAGAGAGAGAAAGAGAGAGAGAGAGAGCGAAAAAAAGCAAGTGTCAAATTTTCAGTTTTTCTCCAAGAGATGTGGGTCGTCTGCAGGGTTTTCCAGAAAACTTGCTAAGCCCGGCGGTCGGGGCGCCGAGGCGGTCCACCGTGTTTTTGTATTTAATGATGTTAAGAAGAGAAGAAAGGTAAAAATATTACTGGCTAATTATATGTCACTGGAAAACATTGCCAGTGAAATGACATTTAAGCCCACAACTAGTCTAAAAAAAAAACTACTCAAAAAATACAATTAAAATTAATATAATTATTTTCACTTCTGTTTAATACAAATTAAGTCAGCGGCTCCAAAGGTTCCCAGGACTTCAGGGCCCCATAAAAGCTAATATTGTAACACAAAACACACAATCATAAATGTAACATTTGTTTATCCAGATCATCAATGTTGCTGAATTTGATTTAATGTTATCAGCATACATAAATTAAATAATTTCAAATTGTTAAACGTTATATGTAAGATTTTAGGGAGCTGGCAAGTTTACTTTGTAAAAGTTCAAAGAACAATATTCATAGTTAGATTGTTTTATTATCACAACAATCAGATACTGTGAGTTTATTTTTTCAGTTTGAGCTCCATTTGTTCAAAAATACAAATTAATAAACTGCAAAATAACTGCTTGTTTTTAGGTAGGCCAATTAAACTACCCCCCTCTCCCAGATTAAATCTAACAGAAGCTGTTAGAGATGCTGATGGTTTTAGGAGTAAAAGGGGCCCTGAGTCAGATTTCGCTCCAGGCCTCATACAGCCGTGGACCGGCCTGTATGATGAGTTAAATCCGCTGCACTGGGCAGAAATTAAATCACAGTAGCAGATTTAGTGAAATGCTGCTAATGTGGCTCCAGAGTTTTTAATAAACGTCACAAAACTTGTTCTGGCTGCTCAAGTTTGTGGGACGAGTTTTTCTGATCTTCCTGCATCCGTGCACATTAGCTCTGGCTGACTAAGTGCACAAAGGATTTGATATGTTTGATGCATTAAGTAGCTGGAAAAATTATACTAAAAATAATACAATAATTAGGACACTTGTGAATGAATATTATAGTAATCGAGTGATTATTCTTTCGATTAATTGAGTAATCAGATAAAAAATATTTCTAAAACAAAATAGGTGGAAGTCAGAGTGCTGCGTAAGGCAAATAATGTCCCAGCCGGAAGACGGTTCGCAAAATAATAACACATAAATTAACAAAGATTCGAGGCAGGTAAATTTTCCTCAAGAAGTTTTAATAATTGAGGTATTGGAACCATTCAATGAATCGTTTCAGCCCTGAGATAAGAGTTCTCCAAAGATTGATCATTCCTCTCAGGGGGTTGATGTAAATATCCATACAGGTCAGCTTGTGTCCAGTTTGAGTAAATGGAGGCGCGTGCGATCCGCGCTCAGATAAACTTCAGAGATGAAACAGCAGCAGCAGCGCGCAGAGACGCCAGCTGTGTGATTGGTCAGCTCTGCTGGTATTCTGTCAGGTCAGCATACGCTTAGCACAAACTGACGGCTACATCTATCAGACAAGTATATTCTGCCATTACCGTACGATTTCATTTAATCAGCAACAAAGAATGGTGACGTAGATCATTACACACTTTGCTATTAACAGCTGTATGACATCCTGAATTAGCGGTTAAGTAGGTCAATGAGTTTTACATGTAGTTGATTGCAGCTGCAGCTACATCCTGCTTTAAATACACTTTGAAACCACGACAATGCATGTATATCTGGTTATCAATGAAAACAATTAAATGACTTATTGTTGTCACAACTCAATTATTGTGTATTCTGAACTGACAACTCTGACGGTTGGACTTCTTGATGCGCAGGCATGCATACTCACAGCATTTATGCTATTCTGACAGCGTATGATAATCTGACAGAACATCAGATTTAAATGAATAAAATATAAACTTAGAAATCTTTTAAAAATAAATGTGATCTACAAGAGAAACTCTCAAAACAGAGTCGCTTGGAGTCCAGCTTTAAGATTTAAAAATAAATAAATCATTAATCAATCCTTCCCCTCTCTCCCTCAATTATTAACTTTTCTTAAAAGAAAATCAAGCAACGGTTTGCCTGGCAGCGAGCCTAATAAACCACGGCGGGCCGCCAGGCTTATGTTACACTGGAGGAAATCAATGTATTGTAGAATGTAAAAAAAAAATCTGAACAGAAAATGTTCAGCAAAGACATCTGAGCCTCTGTTATGACTGCAGAAGCTTCCATTCTGTTATAATCGCCCTTTTGCCATTTCTTGAGTCAGAAGCTTCAACCAGAAACAAATTCGAGCTTCATTAAAGACGGTCAGTTAGGATCATCACCACAGCTGGACGATCGGACTGACGTTACCGTCTGTGCAGTCCCGTCCTGTTTAGGATCCAGCTCAGAGTGCGCAGACTATTGCTGATTTCAACCACAATGCACAGCAGCATCAGTATCTCTGTACTAACCTTCATTATGCCTGCACTACAAGCATATTATAGACACCTTATCATGTTTATAAAATATAGTTATGTTCATGTAATATGACTATTACATTTTTACAATAGATTATTATGTTTCTACAATATTACTATCAGCATGACAGCAATACCCTTTTGTAGTAAGTACATTTGTTGAGCCAAAGAGTTAAGAATATATAAACACGTCTCTTTAAATGTACAGTACAGACCAAAAGTTTGGACACACCTTTTCATTCAATGAGTTTCCTTATTTTCATAACTATTGACATTGTAGATTCACACCGAAGGCATCAAACTATGAATTAACACATGTGGAAATATGTACGAAACACAAAAGTGTAAAACAACTGAAAATACGCCTTATATTGTAGTTTCTTCAAAGTAGCAACCTTTTACTGTGATTACTGCTTTGCACACACTCTGCATTCTCCTGATGAGCTTCAAGGTCGTCACCTGAAATGGTTTCCACTTCACAGCTGTGCCCTGTCAGGTTAATAAGTGGCTTTCTTGCCTTATAAATAAATATGAAAATAAAGGAAACCCATTGAATGAGAAGGTGTGTCCAAACTTTTGCTCTCTACTGTAAAAATATTAGAAATTTTAAATTGACATTTGTGACTGTATCCAAAAAAGACCAGTGACATCTAACCATTTACTAACAACCTTGACCCTAGTGGGGTCAGGAGGTGCTGGGGTCACCCTGGACAGGTCGCCAGTCTGTCGCAGGGCGACTCAGAGACAGTGCAATAATATTAGCCTGCATGATCTTTTCCTCTCAGGTTAGGGCTCTGCTTTGCTGCACAAGCATCAGCCTTTTCCCTGCAATAAGCTTCTAGCTATTTTTATTACCTATTAGCCATGTTTAGGACCCTGAATGCAGGAAGTCAATGTAAGACAACATTGTAATGATGCCCCACATGCTACTAGCAGCATTTAGGCTAACATTAGCATTTTGGCTCATTTTAGATTATACACTAATTTTAACAAACTGAATGGAGGAAGTCCATGTTAGTCAACATGCTTGTGACTTTCCACAGGCTATTGACTACAATTCGGCTAAGCTTAGCACTGATGCTAATTGTTAGCATCAGAGCGCTGGGTCCAAACTGGGGCCACACTTTAGGAGGCCCGGTTACATTTCTCC